CGGCAAATCATCTGCGACATCGTTTAGTATCTGAAAAACAAGATCAAAAATTTACGAAATAAGGTCAAAAAATCAGATGCTTACCTGAAAGCGATGTTTCTGAGTGCTATCTATAACTATTTTGAGATCTTGTATCCGAGCTATTGTTTCAAACAGCGCTGTCTGCCGCTCTTTCGACGTTTTCGGGCATGGGTATTGTCGAGCATTGAACCTTAAATAATCCAAAGTGATGGGATATTTGCGCTAAACCATTTCTTGTCATAGTTCTAGGAAATTACACATATAAAGTTCGAGATATAGACCTCTAAATAATAAATAATAATGGATATGGGACAATATGACAAGCAATAGTCAGTTTTTTTTCGATTTATGAGCATGCGTGAATAGAAAGGATTATATACAAAGAAAATACCAAATCACAGCATTTCTCACAATGAAGAGCAGAGAAATAATAGTAAAATACCTAAACAATCTTACCCATCGCACACTTTGTCGATAATAAGCTTGAGACTTTCTCCCTTGAAGAAGACAATAAACACACATTTCAGGATAGGATCGAGCTGAAAAATTTGCATTACTGCGCTACAGGAAAAAAATTGCAGAAAATATTAGGGCAGGGATGACGAGTAATTGTGTAAGTGGTATCTTTTTCCAGCGGAGATCTCACAAAAACCAACCGTTACGGGGTCTTCGAGAGTGAGTGTTATATCACTAATGCGTACAAAAGCCGTTCGCCTGCAAGCTCTCCACAGTACACGCTCAAATGTGTTCTTCTTATCCAAAGGAATGACTCCAGCAACAAACCTTGGATACCATTTACCACGGAGGGAAATCAGTAGGAATTAAAAGTAGATCTGTTTACCAAGCGTTTTCTCCTTTCTCGTCATGAAGTAGAGGAGTAAGTGGAATATCGTTCTGACCGGTGATATGACCCCCAGGTGTCACGGACTTAGAGAAATCTTGCTGTAACAAAGTTGCGTTGCAAAATACTCTTTAATCAGAAATTCTTCATACTAAAGATACAAAAAAATACACAGGATTGTGCAGTTGTGGTTCTAATAGAAACATCCGGAAAATGCATACACGTAAACATTGAAGCAGCGAGTTTGAAAGAAATAATTCATGAAAAATAATAATTAACTGCTAAAATTTCCTAGTGCATAGGCTGAAAGCCTCAGGAGAATGCATTTTTAGTTCATATTCAGTTCAGTATTAATTTAGAAACCAAACACCTTAAGGCTG